AATTTTTAATTTTTTTCATTCAAATTAAATGTTTTAAATTTAGTAAATAATGATAGAATAATAATAGTAAATAATATTGTGATTTCTTTTAAGAAAATTTTTATTTTTTTCTGCCGAATATTTAGAACAAAATAAAGCAATTAAATACAAAAGATCAAGATATTGTTTCTCTCTTATGTTTGTGTTGTCGTTTGAAAATTTAAAGAAAAATATTAATACATTTATAACCCCGTTGCTAAATTTTTTTGAGTAACTTATAAAAACGTTTTGATGCTTTAAAAAAAACGAACTCCAAATGTATCAAAATAGCCTTATTCTTATCTTTAAAAAGCATCTACCTATTTAATCATAATTAAAAGACAAAAAACGAAAAAAAAATTGGTATATCTCCTCCTTTTTCTTTGAACGAAATTTAAAGCTTGCTGCGAATACACCTGCTTAAGTATAAACATTTTTTAGGAAAGAATTTTTTTATAAATATATTTTTTGCTTACTTTTTTTACCGTAATTAATCTTGCAACTAACTATCCTTATTGGGCCAGAATAAAAGTATAAAGCTGAATTAATGGTACTTTATTTATATTAATAACATAAAACATATTATTTGTTTCATAAATACGTAAATGATCGCATTTCTTCTAATGGTACGCATTAGAAGCATTTTGCAAACTCCATCTTTATATAAAATTTTCCGAGACATAATAAATCTTCTTTAAAATATTTGAAAAAAAAAAAAGATATTTTCCTTTAAAGATGCTTAATTAACGAAAAATGGATCGAGGAATTTATTGAAGATATCTAAATAATTAGGTGTGAGGATACAAAAAATAAGAATGCAAGAGAAGCGGTAGCAAGATAAATGAATAAAGTTTTAAATAAATTTTGTTATCCACGTAATAAAAAATATCCCTTATTACTTAGATTTTGAGTTTCTTTTAAAAATTATAATTTTCAGCGCATTTTCTAATCTTTTCAAAATCGTGGATGTAAAGCAGGTGTTTTTTATTTTTCAAAGGAACTCATCGAAAATGGTATATTTAGTTTCATCTGGAACAGCGAAATTTCCCACTTAATCGTTTGTTACTTATTTAATAATAAATAGTTTGGCAAGGTGTTTTTTCGCTAAGCAGTTTTATTTCACATTCATTTTAATTTAAATATTAAACAAAGGTATTATGAAGTATTTATTTTTTAATGGTGAACTATAAAGTTGAAAGATTAATAATACAAGTTAATACATTAAATCATTGTTTAAACAAATAATTATATTTCTAAAACAAATGTTAGAATTTTAACAGTGATTTTCCTTAGAGATTAATTGTTACAGTTAGTTTGTTCGTTTATGTTTTCTGTTATATGGAATAATATTCACTGTACTAGATTTCAGTAGTTTATTAAAAATTAATTGAAATTTTTGCTGACTTGAAATATTATGGCTATTTTTTGCTTTCTTTTTTTAAACATTAAAATACCGATATTTTATAATGACTTAATATAAACTGAATTTTAAGCAAAATTTATGTTTATAATCAGTTTATATTTATTGTTGAAGTTAGGTTGGTAATAGTTAATTCGTTTTATATTTTAAAATATAGAAGGTTAAAATCAAATTTCAGTATGATGTTTTCAATTAATTCTTTCAATCTTTCGAAAATTAATTTTACTTGTTTTATGAAAATAAATCTTTTAATTAGTTTGTTCGTGCGTTTTTTTCCAGAAAAGATGAATGAATTCAATTTTCCTAGAAAGGATCAAGAAGATCAATTTTCCTAGATATGATCAATGAAATCAATTTCCCTAGAAAGGATCAATGAGATCAATTTTCCTTAAACAGTTAAATGAAATCAATTTTCTCAGTTAGGATCAATAAGATAAATTTTTCTAAGAAGGATCAATGAGATCAATTTCTCTAGAAAAGATAAATGAGTTCAATTTACCTGGAAAGGATCAATGAGATCAATTTCTTTAAAAAGGATCAATGAGATCAATTTCTTTAAAAAGGATCAATGAGATCAATCTCCTTAAATTGATCAATGAAACGATTTAAGATAAATAAATGAATTATTTCTAACCAAAAATAAGGAAAAGTGTTTAAGAATCATTATCTGCCTACATACATTATATATTATTTCTAGAATGATTTCAAAGATAACTAATTCATATGTTTTTATCAAATTGAATACGTTCATCATTATTTTTATATGTGATCTTAGTGTGGTGAAAATGAAAAATAAAAACATACACAATGGTTGTCGCGAATTAAAAAATCATGCGAAATAAAAGCAAAACATAAAAGCTGAGTTATTTTGTTAGTCAGAGCAAATAAAGAATTAAAACAATTAAAAAAAAAGCTGAAACTGACTTGCATTACTTAATAGAAGGCAAGTGTAGTTCAATTCGTTACAACCAAAGGACTACATTTTTTGTTTTGATTAACTTCAATTGTGGTCCGTTAACATTTGATAATGATTTTTTCCTTATTTAAACAATAATATGTACCACTAATGTGAATATTTTTCTACTTCAATCATTACCAATATTCTTAAAACATGCATTAATGGTGGAATTCACAAAACACTATATCAATTTTTTTCAACTATACTGTTTTATAATACAATGAACCATAATATTGCAACCTTAATATGATGTCAGATTGAACTGTTGTATCGCATAAATTAATCTGATGGTTCGATATTATGATTCAATCTGAAAGAAAATATGGTTCATTTTCACGCTTTGTTAAGATATTAAGGTTGCACCAACTCTGATATGATGACTCAACGATTCGGCATTAGGTACAACGCTTCATTGATATTTTTTAAAGTTACTGAAATGAGAGAGAAATTTGCTAAAAGTGGAAACAAATACGATGATGCCACAATCTGTTCTTAAAACGTATATGCATTACGATTCAACTAGATAGAAAATAAGATTCTGTTTAACACTTTATTAAGGTTGCGATAACTTTGATATTGTGATTCGATGAGCCCATATTATAGTTCTATGCTGAACTTATATTTCTGAGAGTGTAATGAGAATGAAATGATTGCACAAATGGACAACTATAGTTTGTCTAAAATAAGAACTACTCCAGACATTCGTCTGGACCTGTGGCGGTGACTATGGTAACGAGACATGACTATTTCAAGCAGGGGTGCGGGGTCCCTGTTTTAGAGTGGTTTCGGGTCTGGTCGGCGATAGAAAGGGAATCTCTTCGGTCTATTGTGTTAGTCCTAGAGTGAAGCCACCCTCCTTAAAATGCGCCATTCTTTTTTCCAGAGCACCAGACAGCCTCAGACTTTGTGGCGGGAGGAGTTCTTAGCTTAGACAAACAGTAATCATATTTTCCCTTTTTTCACGAATTTATTTACCAAGCTTATTACAAAAACATAAATATTTGCCTCAACTTCGTTCCAAATTAGAGCAATTATCTACTTTGAAGTGTGCTTCTGCTTCTCACACAAAGACACAAGTGGGCTTCTTACGCAACACAATCGGTGCAATTCTCTTCATGGCTCCGAATATCAACAAAAGTTGAGGCAAATATTCGCATAGAAAACGAAACAGTGAAGTGATTCCGATTATTGCGTGTTGTAAGTTGTAGAGAGAGTTAAAAAAAATGCCTCGGAGGCAAAATCTGTTCTGGGCGAATTGTTCAAAAAAATGGATGGGGTAGTGTAGGTGACTCACCTGGCGTCTGCTTCAGCTACAGCAGTTTCATCTGATGCGTGACTGTCACACTGCGTGGAGGGTGTAGGACTGGACTGACAGTGACCGCCATTCGCATCATTACAAAAACCACTGTCGTTGCTGCTGTGGAGGGATGCTGGCAAATTCGGAGGTGGCACAGATATTGGAAAGGGGGCTGTCAGTGACCTCCTCGGGGATCGGAATATTTGAGGAGTCTCTTGCAATTCCTTAAGAGGTGGATGGTGGAACTTGATGGAAGCATATGTAGGTTGAACAGAATTCGTCCCGCTTTGATGATTTGAATCGTGTAATGGTGTCCGAGGAGGCTGAAGGGATTTCACTGGAGTGGCCTTAGAAGGAAAAAAAATCGATTAAATAAATAAAATATTTAAAAAAAATCTCCACCCATCAAGGAAATTTAAAAATTATGAACACTTATCAGCTTTTTATAAATCTTAAGTTCATCTTTGAAAAATGGATCATAGTCTTTTCAATTAAAATAAATTATGAGGGATTCACTTGCATCAAAGCTATACCCCAGTAAAATTTAAAAAAAAAATAGGATTTAGCTAAGAATATTTTACATTTCACATCATGTACATCACTTTTTACATTTTTTTATGATTTAATACACCATAACACTACATTGAATTTGGGTAATACCGAGCCATTAGGGATATATAAAGCAATTCCGAAAGAAATGTACCATCTAAAATGAGGGCCTAAATTTCACTTGAAATATTTTTTTCAATATAAATAGAAGTAATATAAAAAACGTATGCATATAATATCGCCAGAAGAAATTGTTTAAAAATAACAACTCTATTTCTCAAAAAAGAAATCAAGCGTAATACGTATTTGTGATGTACCAAACAGTAAATTCTAAAATTTATGAGAGCTTCGAACCACAGCAGTTTGCTTGCAACCTATTTAGTATGATAAAATTTTACAACGTTCTGCCTCTTAAGGAATATTCGAATAGAATGGAATGCAGTAAAGAATATTTGCCAGGTATCTATTGATTCTAAGGACGTTGATAACCTAATCATAAGTCCAAGATGGGAACAAGAGCACCTGCCCTATGCAGCTTACGACGGTCCTAATTTGATTATCTTACAACTTATTCTAAAATGAAGACTCATTTGGCGATCGATGCGCCAAATCCCCTTTAAAAGAGAAGAACTCTCACATAAAATTCAACCTTCTTCCGAAACACTTATCCCTAATAATCATTCGTTCATATCACATATATATTCATGAGGGTATTTTCCATTCAAGTTCGATATTAGGACTTTTTTTTAAGAAAATAGAAGAATCCAATATAAGCTGTAAATATTTAAGCGTAAATAAGAAGTTTTGTGGGAAGATAAAAAGAAGTAATGGCGTTCGCAGATACTGGAATGGTAATGGTTTAGAGTTTGCTTCTGGAGTACCACGTGGGAATTCTTCGGGATGCGTTTGGGTAGAAGTAATTCTTAATACGATTATAAATATTAATTTCTTCTGAAACTTAAATGCTTATCATAATACGTGAGATTTAGTGCTTAAATAGGAAAAAATAACAAAGATTTGTATTTAAGGTAATAAGAGGTTGACAATTGCATCGTTGCGAGTACATCAGAATTAAAAGGTGTATTAAATTTTTAAAAAATTTTTATCCAAGATGATGTATGTAATGAAGAATTTTGCTACGAATGTTAGTTTGAAATACTTTCCCGTCGTTATGAATAAAGTTTGGGAAAAGCTATTGTTCTAAGCATTATAAAGCATTTAATCATTTCAATTTAAGATATTATTTCTACAGTTCATATTTTTGCTCAAACACGAAATATGCTACATAGGATAGTCAGGTGAATTGCAGGAATCCCTTCCTTATTAATTCGAGACTGACAGATTAGTCAATAATATTTAAGAAAATATTTCCATATGTGCTCCAAGTAAGGATGTTTAATAATGATAAGCAACTAATTTAGTAATGAATTTAATTTGGAAAATATTTTCGAAACAGTAAAATTACGTAATTAAATGAGATTTTTCTGAAAAAGTTCTTTTTAAAACTTTTTACAAGTAGCCTTTTAAAAATTACCTATTTAAAGGCTAAATGTTATACGAATAATTTAATCCGCACAATTAACGGATATTTCTTATTTCAATAGCTTTACAATCTTCATTACGGTACCATGAAGAGCCTTTTTTTATTATTCTTTTTTTTATTTATTACCTATTACCTATTTTTTATTTATTATTTTTATTTATTTATTATCTATTTTTTTTATGTAGGTATACCTTTTCATCAATTACAATTCAATAAAATAATTTCAATAAAATAATCAAACAAGCAAAATCTTCCTGATTAAAAACTTCAGTTGCTTCCAAAACTATGTCAATAGGAAATAACAATTGACGTGTTTCAAGCGCACAAAAATAAGAGTCCATTTTCAAGATTTTCCAGACTTGAATAAGAAAAACGCCAGGTGACTGAGTGGTAGCGCTTCGCTCTCCCGTGCCACAGGTCCTGGGTTCGATCCTTGGGCCGGGCAAGGTTGATCCAGCATTACATCCCTTCAGTGGGTCGATAAATGAGTACCAAACATGCTTGGAAACTAAACACAGGGGGTTTTCGCTTTCAGCTGACCACTTAACCAGAACATCTGCTCCTACACCCCAGAGCCCAAAACTTAGATGGGCGCAAGTAGGCCTTGGCCTTCTATGGGCTGTCGCACCACTGAGTTTAGAATTTAGAATAAGAAAAAACAATTGTGATTTGAAACGTAAAAAGTTAAGTTGCCAAAGAAAAATGAAAGGGAGAAACAAAACTTGAAAAACTGTAGTAGCTGAGGGAGAAAAATCGGTGAAGAACAGAACAAGAAAAACCATATAGACCGAGAGGGGCACATTAAGGTAAAATGCGTTTCCACGAGCCATGGAGAGATGGTGAGGAACTAATGTCGTTAACAAGGGAATCAGCATTCCAATGAATTTAACAAGATTCCAGGGTATCAAGATGAGCTGATGTAACTGTAGATTTGTTTTTCCCAAGCACTATACTGAGGAATTGGCAAGAAGCAAATGAAGGTTAAAAAGCTCTCCTTCAATCATCTAGCAAATCTTGAAAAAAGGCGCACATTTTGAGCGTTTGAAACACGTCGATGGTTATTTCCTATATATATATATATTTGTTTTGAAGTGAATGAAGTTTTTAGTCTAAGAATATTTTAGATCTTCAGTTTATTGAAATTATTTATTTAAGTAAGATGTTTGTTAAAGGACATTTTGTTTGCTTTAAAAAAATTGCATTGCAACGTCTGCAAAAATTAGTTTTAATTTATTTCCTATTAAATATTTTCACTCTAAGCAGATTCATTTCTTATTCACAGAAGAAAATTCCCAAAATCTCAAACGGGATAAATTAAAAAAAAAAAAGGTTTTGCAACTCCAGAAAGAGAATTCCAGCCTAATAAGCTAACCAATTACCTTGTCAACCGAATCTCATAAACCCCAACCGTTGCATCCAGAAGTAATTTTCCAACGCTACGCTACAGCGAGCAAAAATTACAAATCAGACTATTAAGATAATTAAAAATCCCCCAAGTACCTTTAACAGTAACCATCCCCCAAAAAAAGAGACATCCCCAAAGCAGTTTATCCCAACTCCAATTAAAACTCTTTTTCCTTTTTTTTTTACTTAATTCTTTTAACTCTTAATCTTGGTAAAAACTTGTTATTATGTGATAAAGCAAAATCTCTCTTGCCGTTGGAAAATTTAATTTCCTCCGCCTAATACATCACATCCATCGCTGCCGGAGTTAAAACTACGGTGTAACTTTCCTTAATTAGCAGGAAATGCCCATTCTCCGGCAATTTAATCCTTACCCTTCTCTCCTCCAAACACCTGACCCCCTCGGCTGCCGAGGCAATCACAGTCTTGTTAGAACACTGTAACGAGATCGGTTGGAAAGGGGGTATCGTTCCAAAACGGCTATTAAAGTGCTTAACGTTACAGCTTATTATGGTACAGACTACAGGAGCCAATTAAGTGAAGCTAGCTTTTCCAGTTAAGAAAGCTTTCGGGGCAATATTTTGTAGATGATACTCTGTCGTGGATATATCCAGTCTTTGTTCGTTGTAACGGGTGGTGTCCGATTTGAAGCGTGGAGAATAAGGCGTATAATTCCAAATAGATGTTAGGTATTGGATCCAATGAACTGGAATGAGCACATGTTTGTATTGATCATTGTATGATTTGGAAGTAGTCTGATTGAAGGAGAGTAATGTTTCTCTAAACTCTGCGTCTGTGGTCGATTTGTGATATAAATTTTATCTCCAAATAAATAAATACTTCTCTCTTATTTTAAAATAAATAAAGTTTTGGTACTTGAGTTAAAAGGATGTAAAATATGTTCCGCATATAGTAATTAACAAAAATTTCAGTGTTTGGTATGCATTATACAATATTAGGAAAAGGCCATTAATGCTGCATACAATATTGGGTTATTTTTAAGCTGGTGGAACAATTAATTTTTCTAAACAAATATAATATACATAAAAGCCAAAATAGTAAAACTAGCTGAGACAGGGGTCAGTATCTTCCTTATCATATAGACTTATCCTCAATGCCTGTATTATTTCTGAACTCGAACTTTTTGAGATTCAATTCCAATGAATACTACATCTATAAAAATGACATTATTAAAATCAATAAAATCATTATGAGACATTTTTGTTTTCCTTTATGTTTTATGCATTTATATAATTTAACATTTCTATATTTAAATTTTTTAAATTTAATTTTATGTTACATTTTTCTTCTTAATTTTGATGCAAGGAGGATAATTATTTTATAAATATCTGTAAAATATAAGTTCAATAAGAAATTTGTATTATGTTTCAGAGATAATATAACACAAATCAAAAAATCTGTTACTCTAAACAAAAATTGTTATAATACTTTTAAGATCTTTGTGCAGAATCATATTTTCTGTACAGATATAAGACAAAAACGAGAAGCAAGAGAACAAGATCATCTTTTGCGTCTTTAATTAAGGCGAATTGAAAATTACGATATTAGGAAAGAATATATTATTTAATCAACGTTCTTTCTTGAGATATTAACGCTCAACTCATTTAATGTTAATGACTAGTTCTATTCGTAGACTCATTTTATTGCTTTATTTTCAGCAACGAAAGAAACTAATATCTTGTAATAATCAGTTACATATAGCAGTTGGAGATAATGGATTAGGAGTTCCTAATAGTTATGATAACTAAGAAAAAAATGAAATTATTACTATTCTTTGAAGTTAATAAAAAATGTCTAGGACGTTTATTAAATTATGTAATTAAATAATAAATTTTACCAACTCGATCCTGTTGTATAATACAAAGATAAAATCTTTTTCGAGTAAATGCATGTGAATACCAATGTTTCTAACTCATATAAACTAAAATACAAGAATCCTCAGATATTGAAAAAACAGGCATTAATTTTCATATTTTGTGTATCTGTTACAGTAAAAATGAAATGTAAATCTAAGTTTAAATAGTAAAAATGGAGAAAAAGACTTTGCAGCTTTAGATTGGAAAATTTGCACAGCTTTCCTTGTAACGAAATAAAATATGATCTAGCTATTTTACATTGTTTACGGAGAAATATATTGTTAAGAAATCGATATATTTTATTTTTATAATATAACATATATATTTTTATAATATAACATGAGCAGCCGACCCAATTTTCAGCTTATGGCTTTACGCTAGGTGAAATAACCAGGTAAACTAATTAAGCCACATTCCACGGTTCATTTGGTAAAACACGTGTCAGCCACAATCTAATTTCAATGTCCATTTTAACAGAAAGCCGAACTCCAATGACCAGCTAAATTTCCTTTTCACGGTTTTTAAACCATGTTAGTTTGAAGTGGTTAAACCGTAAAGGTTTAAAAAATGCTCCTGACCGTAAACTTTACGGTTATTTGGATGGGCAGACTGATGCTGGTTTACCGTAATTTTAGAATGAAAATTAGTTTTATATTTCCTGGAAATAATTCTAAAAAGCAGGGTAAAACATACCTTTGGAATGAGGTCCTTGGCTGGAAATAATGGACTATCTGTGAATGTTGAATGGGGTCTGCCGCATTTTCCATTGGTGATTGCGACCGCATCTTGGTCTGGAGGCAGAGCATGAGCACTGAGGGTGTAACTACTAGAGGGCCTTCGGACATTCCGTAAAAAGGGAGATGATGTCAATCCTGATTCGGACTTTTCTCCCCACTGGCTCCTGTCGGGGCTTCCACTACTGAAGAATTGGGGGACATAAACATACAATTATTTTAATTTTATTTTAAATGGACTGCAATAAAATTCTAACTTGTTTATTAACATTTTATGAATTATGAATAAATTGCACATGTTTGAATTGTAAATACCATAATATTTTCCCTATTATCCCCTTCCTTCTCGCTCCCGTGAAAATAACGGGGTGAGGTTTCGCCCTCTATTTCTTGCTCCCGCGATGTTGACGGGCTGGAGTGTTCAGTAGTAACGCGCCAATAAGTATAAAACTAATTCATTTCTTTTGCCTGGAAAACATTTTATTTCTCCTTTTATACACCAGATGGCAATACCAGGATATTTTTAAGGTAATTGTAGTTAGTTAGTTTATTTTAAACTAGATGTCAGCACTAATCAAATACGTAATGCAAATACAAAAACCAAAAAAATAGGCACTTTTTATGACCGTTTTCTTGAAACTTAACCGATCGTTGATGGGTTATTCAGAAAAGAATTGTTGTGATATCAACTATGATATCATCCTCGAAGATAAGACATTTTAAACTATTTAATGCACTTTTTTGAAATATATGTTAACCTTTATTTTTTTAATAGAAATGGTTGCTCATTAACGGCCAATATGTAAAGAAAAAGTAATTTACAAATGGGCATACGATTGGGCTCAAAGATAAAAAAGGGGTTCACAAAGATAAAAATTTGGTACGATTGTGTTCAAAGATAAAAAAGGGGTTCAAAAAGATAAAAATTGGCTACTTCACCGACTAGTAGGTGTTAGTTTCTATATGAATGATCTGAAAAATAAGATGCTTGAATTGGAAAAATATTGGTTCATGTAATAAAAATATGTAAAAATTTGTTGAATATTTAGGATGTATAGTGTAAATGTATTGCATGCTTCCACAACCTTAAATCACCATAATCTATATTACATAAAATACTTATACGTATGCAGTCACGAAACCAAAATCAAAATACAACGGCCACAAAGAGCTGAAACAAGTTAAGCAATACATAGGGCACGAAAAAGAAATTAAAATCGACCTGATATTATAAACTACCTAGTTCCGTTCTATTTTTGTTTTAATTGCGCTTATTTACTTACGCAAGTGTTTCATTATAATTTAGAGCTATGTTTTAATTTTAATGATGCTTCATAATTAACACAGGCGAGAGATGCGTTACCTTGAAACTGCTGAAGACAGAATAAATGTTGCCCAGGCAAAATATTAAAAGCGAGTCAGTTATGTGTAGATTCTTCAAGGGGTAGATCCTCAAATCCTGTAATCGCTTTTAGTCCAAACTATACGGGGACATTTTATCAGATTGCCAAGGACGAAACTTTTAGGAAAAAAAAAATTAAAATTGGTTGATAATTTATAAGTTTAAGAAAGTATTCGCTTCATTTGCATGCACTCACATTGAAGTATGCACCTGTATCGTCGATACAGTCTTGCTGTTTAAACGGCAGATTGTACAGACTGGTGGTAAAAAACCCTGCCAGACTTTAAATTCCTACGAAAGGTCAAATTTAAGGCATTGTCGGTAATAAATTATTTTCCTAATTAAAAATTGCTCGACATGAGGAAGAAGTGGTAGTTAGTGTTGGCTTGGCCTGGTGATAATGGATAATGATGAATAAGTTCTGATACCATATCCCGTGCCATATTTCATTCCGCAGTGTGTAGTCTAACATTGTCGCGCATGGGATAGATGGCAGCATTAGATGCCATGCATTCGATGGGAGCTGATTTGTTGGACAATTTAGGCTTTTTTTTCAAGAACTTAGTACTATTTCGTCCAAGCGGTAGCAACATATTCTTCTTACGATGCTCCGATATCGGTCAATCTTAACGGTGACCTTTAATCCACCATTATTGATTTTCGATTTTAGGCAACCATGCGGCTCATTGGTAAATTCAAAGTTGCTTGTAAGAAATTCGAATTGCAGCTCAGTAAGAGTTGAGTAAAATACATAATTTATCTTCCGCTTAGTTACATTATCAGATTGCCCAATGAAAAATAGTTTTGTTAACCATCCCAATAGACAATCGAAAAAGAGATCGTCCAAGATTTAAATGGGTAGACTATTTAGAAAGGAACTTGAGCGTCCTTGAAGCAACCGGATGAAAAGCTAAGTCTAAAAATAGGACAGCTTGGAATAGAATTCTAAGGAAGGCCGAGGCCCACACAGAGCTGCCACGCCAGGGAGGAACAATTAAATACAGAACGGTGCATATAAAGATATTCTATGATTCATCCCTTTCAAATGTAATTTTCTAAAAGTATTGAAATGTATATAAATCAAACTATATTGTACATAAATTCAATGAAGTGTGTATATGTCACATTTTTATGTATATATTGCATGCTTTAAAGATTTATTTTGAAAAATTGCCATCATTCATGCATAGCTATACTGACCTCTGTGTAAATTTTAAATTAAAATAATAGATTTTGCTTGCATCAAATTTTGCAACTGTATGAGTTAAATATTACTGTTCTTAGGGTTTGCTCATTTACTGAGATTCCAAATATAGCCAAATAAACTTCGAGTTCGAATCTATCTCGCACAGTCAGCAAATCAGTTATTCTCTTTATAATGCATCCGAACTGATTGCAGCATGATATTCCAAGTCAGCGAACGAGATCCGAGAACATTTAACAGGAAGATGGAGGGAAGATCCTCCATGGATGAGTTGGAATGTAACGATCCGAGCGATGAAACCCTCAGCGGGATCTGGTTGCTCTTAAGCTATTACACAGAGACTGAATCATGACAACATGATCTTGAGAAGTGTGGGCAGTTTCAGAGGGAATTTTGAAGGTGGTGCCATCAGCTTAAATCAAATACGCCCAAAGGTTGCTTATTACGCCCAAATTACTGGATGTTTGTAATAAGTCAAGTTGAAATGCTAAGAAAATGCCACGAACGAAGCTTATAAAGGATTGTATTTCAGCTTTAATTTTGCCAATGGGATTTAACAGATCTCAAAAATTCATGCAGGATGTAGTTTTAATAGAAATCACTTGTTTTAAAATGAAAATTGAGATTTTTTTTTATGATTAGAAAAGCATGCTCTATAGGGTGGTGTATAGAAGCAGTTCACTTTTTTTACGTCTAATCATTTACGCATCTCTATTAGTAGCCGTTCACATATTAAACCAAAGAGAGACTACTAATCATTTTGAAAATTTTTAACGTGAAGAATGATTTTTTTTCAATGTTTATTTCATAAACAAAGTTCTTAAAATAATAAGTTTTATTTCACATAGTTGAATTCGTAGGACTGGAGTGATATCTAGTCTAGTTCGGAATTTGCTTTTGGTGCATAAATTAGCTGAAACGAATAAAATAAGCTGAATTATAATTTTCAAAAACAAACTCTTACGAACGTTGAGAATAATTTTCAAAGAAACATAGTTTTTTATTCATGATTTTGGTCATTTTTATTTTGAATAGAAACGTTCGACGAAAAATAATGATGCAATTCTTTTTTAAATTTTGCAACCTATTTTTACAGGCATTTAACTTGAATAGTTTCTTGATAAGTTACAAAATCATTGCTGATTTAAAAAATTATAATGTTTGCGACCTTTCCTCGGAACCACAGGGCTCCGCCGAACACTATTTTAGAACCGCTGGTGTGAAGAATATCGGATTTGAAGATACATATTCTTTTTTTTGTGCAAAATTTCCATGATTTATATTTCATTAATGTGACTGAATTTCTTTACTACAGGGCTTAAATTACTCTCGTTTAAGTTGTGGTTGGATTTTATTTTATTAAAAAAAGGGTCCTATGGTATAAAATTGTTTGAATTTAGATCATGGATTGTAATTGACCGAACAGAAAAATACAGGGATAAGAATGACTCAGCAATGTTAACCATACAAGTCAACAAGGCAAACAGGGTTTCTTTTTCCTGACGCTCTATTTTCAATTATTCTGAATTGTCAGCTGTTCCAATAAATTATTCTTTCAGATGGCAACATTTTACTGTACAGATGGTGCAAATTACATATCTTTCTTGAATTTTTGGTCATGCTTTGTAATTGAAAAAAAAAAGGTTTAAAAACATTTCTCTCTGTAATAAAAAATCGTAAGAGCCGATGCCGCTACCGCTGTTTTGAGTGTTCAACTAAACGTTACATTTACTTAACGCTGTATTACTTAACGTTATCTAACGTTACATTGCATTGTTACTTAATGTTACATTACATTAACGTTATAAGACTTATAAACTATGGATTACGGTTGATTTTGAAAAATATACATAGTTTGCTGAAATAAAAGTATATAATATTCAATAATTATTTTAAAAATTATTAATTGTTGAATTTGATGTAGAAAAATAAAATATGGGAGGTCAAAGGAATGGAACTACAGAGCTAAAATGTGACGAAAGGGCCAGTTTCGCTTATAAACATAACTTTTTTTAAAAATGTAAGTGCTTTCTTTAGAAAATTTCGTTTTGCTGATCAAAAACTATAATATTTAAAAATATAAAACTACGATGGGCTGTAAAAAAATGTAGGTTCAGAATTATTAATTTTTAAACTTGTAGTAGGAAAATAACATGTTAGATGTTAGGTAGATCCGTAGCCTCCTGAAATGCAACAACGGAGTTAAAATTTAATGTGCTTTTTATTTTTAAACTTGACAGGAATTTCATTTCGAAATTTCAATTCATTCGAAAGTTATTTCAATTTTAAGTGCTTTTTCTTGATTTTTTTCCAGCTTTTTTTCAGAAAAACGAAGAAAATTTAGAAAATTAAGAAGATATATAACTCATAAAATAACTTAAAAATATAGGGAAACAAGGAAAAAGATATAAAAAAATTTTAAAGGAGGAGAAAAAAATTATTAAGAAATGCTTTTAAAAAATGTTCATCAATTTAAAAATTTTTTGAAAATTCAAAAAAATAATTGGAAAATAAAATAAAATAAGGAAAAGATCGTCATCATCAGCTCGTACGATTATATCCGAAAAAATGGTGCTTTC